GCCATGTGGTGCTCGATCTGAGCGGCACCAGTGCGGAGTAACGGTTCAACGGGCTTACGTGGCACGCTTGATCAGACCACGATGATACAAGAGATGCCGACATGGTGTAACACTATGTTAAGGTTACACATCCGGCGGGCATGATCAAAACTGCACGGATTTGTTACACACGTTGGTTCTGAACAATTGTTACACGACCTTGTGCTGCGTGCGAGCATTATACATGGACCATCCGTATGGAAACCAAGCCCGTACCACTCATAAATCATTGATTGTCATCGTGCAGACGCGAAATCTCGTTGTACTGAATTATGCGAGGTCTTCAAGCCAATGGTAGGGGACGGCAGCAATCTCTGATGTATCAATGCATACGAACGCACATTCACTTTTGATCGATCGGTTATGACTGCACAAGTTTCAAAAATGCACCTGACCACTTTGTCGGAGATGTGACATGTCTGCGTTTCACTGGATCTATGACTTAAGGCCCTGTTCTGCTCCGTTCCTAATCTGGGCGCACTCATCAGTTAAATCATCCCTGAAGACACACCAGCGGCCCTCACGAAGGCACGGACCAGGGATAAATAAGCGCCAGTGCATGCACTTCTGAAACGCGTGCCGTCCGAGGATCTGAGGTAAAACGAAATGTATGATGGGCGCCCTAAGTCATGCAGTTTCACATCGTTCGCAGCACACCTGAACATGACATCGCGGAGCCCAGAGGAGGGACAAGAAAAATATATTTGGCGGTATAAGGTGCTGATCCTTAGGGAATCCACCATCAGAATTTCCTTTTAGAGGCTTCCTCGCGTTCAGGCAGCCATTTCATGAAGATCGTCTGTGCCAGTTCGGGCACTCGCTTGTTGCTTATTTCATAGGACACTCCCGAGTTTGTTGCTAAGCACTTACGGCGTGGTGGGCATCTGCCGTCCAATTTCAAGAGAATTAATAGTATCGATGGCGATAGTTCTTTTGCGCGTCGTTGAGAGAAACTCACCGTCATGCCGCCTGTTTGAGGAACCTGCCACGGCTCTGAAGCCTGTCTCTGAGACCGCAGGTACAATAACGCGACACAAGTTCACCATCTGACGCTTACCATCTCGTCCCCAAAAGTATGGTACGCACCGCAGCTCCCACCGCTTCCCCTGAGCCCGGGCCGAAGCCGGTGGGGCCCGTGCCGAGCTCATGCGGCGACTCCAGTAGGCGTCTCGCAGCCGGACGTGCTTTGCGTGCACTGTTCGGCACCCAGTCCTGCCGCACATGCTGCGACCGCTGCCAGGCCGGTTTGGCGGCGGCGTCGACGCAGGTAAAAGTCTTTGGATTCCTGCGACGTTAGTCCCGCGCGGTATCCCTGGGCCATCGTGACGCCATGGGAATTGATGGCCGACCTCGTCCAGTGAGTTGTGGTGGCGATGTGTTGGGGAAGGGGAGGGGGGGGGGGGGGGGGGAGGGTAGCGGGAAGGGATTTTCGTTCGGGCTTGGAATTTTTATGATCGGACTGGTTTCACTGGTCCAGTCCGGTCCGATAAGCGACCGTTGGCACCGTGTGTGTATGCGTGGCTTCAGTGCGGCGAAAATGGCGTCCGGTTAGGATAGAGCGGGTGGCAGATGGCTCAGAGTTCGGAGGTCACGCTGTGACATTGATTCAATGCTGTACTTGGGTCGATGGTCCACGCATACTGACGCATACTACGCGTTTTGTACTTCACGGCGGATCTAAGCATTCTCGATCATAATGGCAATGTTGTCTGAATCTGCTTATGGACAGCTGGTGCGCTGAAAACGCTGACTTTGGCTTCTCTCATTGGCTTGCATCTTTTTTATTAAAAAAAGGATCGCAAATTACTAGACTGTCGCCTACCACACCACTCTGAGTAATCACTGTTGTAGAGCTGAGGGCTTGTAATTATTTCTTCCTGTGCCATGTTCTCGTCTTGCCTACGGATAATTCTTGCTCTAGACCAGTTTTAAAATCCTGGAATGGAGCCGCCGAAGATTACTTGGTCGCGCAAACTGTAAGTCACCTCGTGATGCTCGGCCCTGTCTGTCGATTCTGTAAACCTGATGTGTTGCAAAAATGTGACAAACGAAAAGGGAAAAGTTATTTGAAGTGACCTTAACTTTACGTTCACACAAAACACAAGATTACACGCACAGTGGCAGCGCCAGTCAACACGAAAGACGGCGAAATGCAGCTAATATTTGACTCGTGTGTAGACCAGACATTTGCCGTATCCAGCGTTGTTTCATAAGCACGTGTAATGCAACTGTTTTAGCACTCTTACTTGTATTGTTGCAGCTCGGGTACCGGTAGTGTAGTGGTTAACACGTCTGCGTTAACCGTTGCGCGTCTATGAAGCTAGAGGTACGGGGTTCGATTCCCCGCGGTGCGCGCCTTTCCTGCCAGGGTGAGAGGCATGCGATGCCGTACAGCCTCAGCACTTGGGTGCATCTTTAATCCCAATGACAACAGATGTCACAGCTCATCCAATGGGATCAGATATGGACGAACATAAATATTTCAAGAAAATGGTTAACAGCGCTTGATGCATACAAGAGCGTGAAATTACTTTGCCCAGAGGGAACGTCATGGGCCACACGTTGTCCTGAATTCAGAAGTGTAGCTCCGAAACGAAAGTTTGGCTTGTATTCGGGTGTAGCTTTCGAAAGTTAAGCCCTAAGGCTTTCACGGTACGTAGCACAAGGTGGGGAATAGCATACGAGACGTGGACGACAGTGATGTATTAGTTGTTCGCGATTAATAGACGATTGACACGCGCTGGGATGCGGTCAGTTTGCCCCAACCCCCTCCCCCGAAGGTTTTTCAAGAAGAAGTTTCGAATGACTGGGCGCAGCCAAACCCTGAATGTCTGCAAGCCATTACATCACATACAGGCCTAATTATTCTGTAAATTTGGTATCTCTAGTTCTCTTGGTTTTTTAGATCTCAGGAGTCAAATTGCTCCACTCCCATCCCCACCCCAGCACATCGCATTCAACCAGTCACTCGGGTGGGTGTAAAGGCAGGATTAGTGAGGTTCAATGAGCGTTGTCGTTAGAAATCCCGCTGGAAAATGGGCGCACTGATTGTGGTATGCGGACGGTCATTTAAATCCGCCGTGACAGCCTCCATCTCCGCAGGCTGGTGGCCGGCGGGAATGGGCTGCGGGAAGCGAGCAAAAAAGTAGGAGGCCTTAACATGTGACCTTTCCATCTAGGGAGCGTCATTTACATCACAAAATTCCATGGCACGGCAGCGGCAATGGGCTGGCCTAGTATAACACCTCATAGGCCCCCTTTTCCCCACTTTTGAACCCTTGGAGGAGAACTAGTGGCCTGCTAACACGAGAGCAATGCTGGAGATGGCATGTCATATGCAGAGAGGAGTTATATTGTTTCAAATCATAAACATATGATCAATACTGCATTGGAAGAACACAGTTTCACTCGTAACATTAGCATAAGTGGCATTTTCAGCAGTGCGAAGTGAACGGCTATACGTGACCATTAACATAGCAGGGGCCGCACCAACGGATAACAATCCTCGCCGCATAGTCGTCTTATTGCCCACATGACAAGTCATGGCATTAACAAAAACTTTGACTTTCGCTTGATACATTTTAGGAATCAGTATTTTCACAGCCTCAACGGAACTCACTGCATTTGTATAAAGAGTGTATGTGTTACTTATTCATAGGGTCTGCTTGTCACCTTAAGTTGGGGGGCCGAGGCGAGACGAGCCTTCCACGCGGAACGCGACGGTGTATCTTCGGAGACTACCTGGATGCCTGTCATTATTCGCTATTGGGATGTAGCGTATTGTCAATATCATCGAACAATTTTGCTAAAAGATTGTCACCGACGATAGACTCGGTTTTAGCTGTCGGAACAGAAATAAACGACCCCCGTATGGTTTGCTGGCTGAACGCGAAATAAGCACCCGTTGCAGCTCGCCGACTGTGATGTTTTGTTTTCAAAATGCCGGCTGTTCTTTAACGGTTGTTTTATATGCTAAGAGATGGGTTTGCTTATAAGGCCATCCAAACTCGTTTTTGACCAGATTTGTTCGAATATCATACGCCTATACTAATTGGCAACGCAAGTTTTGTAAGTTGGGAACAAGGAAAGGAAATATAACCTATTGCAAGTGTTACCAACCTACCTTAACGTCGACATCATCACGGCCTTAAAAGGACATAACTACCAGCTTCGGTCAAATGCTTCCTGGCTTCATGATTGTCTTGTTTTTTTATATACAGAAGAGATAGGCGTTGAAACTAAAATAATAGTGAACTTTACTGCGACATCACCGAACATGAAATATATGAAGCAATGGATCGAGGGTCTGTACTCGAGAGAGGAAAGGACAGTCACGTCTTAAACAAGTTAGCTGGACAGTTGGGTGCAAATTATTGGCGCTTGGTAACTGTCGCCAACCGTCTTCTAGGATTTCAACAGCTTGCAATCTGAAGGTTTTGTTAGGATAGCAAACAAGAGCCAGATGCTATGAACCGCGACACCGTCAATGCAAAGCTGCATATCTCACGACTACAAGGCATGGTCAAAGTTATGTTAGCTTTGAGAACCAACTCTGTCCATTATTTAATATCTGCCCAACGATGAGTTTTACTCGCCTATTTGGCCACCAAGCAGACAAGCAAGTGCCTAAAAGATCTACAACTTGCCAATGGTTAGATTGAGGCGATTCGCATTTCACGGTCGTGTGGCGTTATCGGAGTACGTATGGTGAAACGACCGTTGAGAAGCGAGCTCCTAGGGCAAGAGGTACTCGCTTCGCCCACTAACGATGAAAACAACAAAATTATTTGTTCAACAGGGACTGTTATCGGAGAAATGGTGCGTGTTTTATCAAATAGAAGTCTTGGTACAAGGCAACAGGGTCTGTGATGGGAAGAAGCCACTGATTTCGCATGTGTTGCCTGTACTAAGGTGTCTACGCTGGCCTCTGACGAGCCTGTTTTGTTCCAGCTCACGATTGGGCGTACGATGGAGAAGCTGGTGAGTACCATCGAGCCAGGCATGCGGTCCCCTCCACCCAGCTCACGATTGGGCGTACGATGGAGAAGCTGGTGGGTACCATGGAGCCAGGCACGCGGTCCCCTCCTCCCAGCTCACGATTGGGCGTACGATGGAGAAGCTGGTGAGTACCATCGAGCCAGGCACACGGTCCCCTCCTCCCAGCTCACAATTGGGCGTACGATGGAGAAACTGGTGAGTACCATCGAGCCAGGCATGCGGTCCCCTCCTCCCAGCTCACGATTGGGCGTACGATGGAGAAGCTGGTGAGTACCATCGAGCCAGGCATGCGGTCCCCTCCTCCCAGCTCACAATTGGGCGTACGATGGAGAAACTGGTGAGTACCATCGAGCCAGGCATGCGGTCCCCTCCTCCCAGCTCACGATTGGGCGTACGATGGAGAAGCTGGTGAGTACCATGCGGTCCCCTCCTCCCAGCTCACGATTGGGCGTACGATGGAGAAGCTGGTGAGTACCATTGAGCCAGGCATGCGGTCCCCTCCTCCCAGCTCACGATTGGGCGCACGATGGAGAAGCTGGTGAGTTCCATGGAGCCAGGCACGCGGTCCTCTCCTCCCAGCCCACTAGTGCAAACATCATAACGTACTTCCTCATTTCAAAAGCAATGCAGATGTTCTTGTCAGTTAAACTTTACAACTGACAAGAACATCTGCGGCGTGCTGAACAGCTCAGTCCGTACAGTGTCGCCTGCTCCCACTCTCGCAGGGAAGTCGGGTGCTGCAGCGGGCTCACTTCATGAATGTGTCAGTGTGAGCTTATCGTTTCGTGTATGAGCAGGTTCAATAATCGCGCAGGTTTAGTTATCACCAGTAAACCCCGTCCAGAACACTCTTTACGTGACTTTTTCCATGCTGTAAGACTCGACCAAAATTGCACACGTCCTGTATAAAAGTTACTTTTCCCAAATGTATGCTCGCTGAGACCTGGAGGCTGGTGGTGTGTCACCTATGACGACATGCTGCAGTACGTGATCGCAGGCCTGCCGCCTCGTGTTAGTGCTACCTGGTAAAAAGAAAGACACAATAGTCCGTCATGGTGACTAAGAAGACCTGAGGAAAACAATGATATCGCATTACGGTATCTCATTTTTATCTCAGAGCTGTCTTTACCTACCTTCCACCGTATAAGAGTAATTGCCATTTTTTCGCACCTCTATTTCCCATTTTTACATCACTGAAAACCTGCACTTCCCCCCCCCCCATCGTTTTGCAGGAGAGCATAACGTACGCAATCATCTTGATTTTTTTCAAGGACGTTTGGTCCGAGTATTTGGCCTGGCTGACAATACAATAAGTATGAACGTCACTAATGCGCATTGCTCGCACTCTGAACCAACCGGCCAGGTATTACCACCCCAGTTCAGCGAATGTTTCGTCCGTATCGGCAGGCCTGTCTCAGAGGCCCTTGTCGTGTTTAACATTTGCATGACACGGCCACCCTGCGCCGGACATGGTCAGGTATGACACTCTGGCCTCCCTGGCCAGCTGCCAGCTGACCTTTCGAACAAGGTCTGGGCTTGCAAGCTTCGTTCTCAGAAATTCGAACCTACGGCCTCTGGACTGCCAGCCCTTCCGTTCGTTCACAGAGGGGACATATGGAAGCACATGACATCTCCATTCGGAGAATGGCAGTCGGGATGTCGCTGTCAGCTCTGATTGCGATGATGACAACATCGAGGGCGAGGCTCGGCTCGAAGTGACGTGACCACATCAAGGCTGCTCGTACCGTGCCGGGATTCTTACCCCTTCGTGGGGCTTCCGTGTCCGGACCACTGTTCATTCTGGATGACCACGCCACTGTATGATACCTTGGTCACCTGGAAGCGTACGGAGATATCAAAGACCCCCTAACCATGCCTGGGTGTTTGCCCACAAAGCCATTTCGCTCTCTTTGGTGGTCTCGGCTTCCCGGCATTTGTTGACCGTTTTGGGATTCTCCAATAGCAAGCAATTAAGTTATTGTTCGAGTGCATCATGAAACACATGCCAGGGTATGTTTTACCCCCTTTACTCCGCCTTTACCTCCTCCCCCCTTTACTCCTCTGTCCCCTCCCCTCCACTATGCTGGACACAAGATTCGGCGAGCAGCGCTTCTGCCGCGAAGCCTCTTGCAGCGCCCGGGTATGTTGTAACACAGAGCATTGGAGTGGGGAGTGACTGTGCCGCGAAGCCTCTTGCAGCGCCCGGGTATGCTGTAACACAGAACATTGGAGTGAGCCGTGATTGTGCCGCGAAGCCTCTTGCAGTGCCCGGGTATGTTGTAACACAGAACATTAGAGTGAGCCGTGATTGTGCCGCGAAGCCTCTTGCAGCGCCCCGGTGTGCTGTAACACAGAACATTGGAGTGTCTGAGCTCCGAGTCACTCGCTGCAGCTTCTGGGATAACAGTCCATGGATGCCATTTGGTCCCAAAGTACTCTACCGATAGCCGATTAGTTTCAACAGGCGGAATTAGGCGTTAGGTACCATTTTGCGCTTGGGATGGTGTGAATTAACCCAGCAATGATGGCGCTCCTGGGCAGCCCACCATTGACCAGGGGGAGGGAAGGCATATACCCGATGTTTATCTCAAGTACAGTCGGACCGAATTGAAAAGTTCAAATGACGACCGATAGCGCTGTGGCGTGTGGTCTCAGGGCGAACAACACACTTAAGCGGCCTCCACCATCCTGTCACAGCGCCACGGCGGCAGACCTGAGTATCACCGCTCGTTGCCCGGGTCCGGATGCACCTGAGCACGGGGACCGCTCGCTGCCGTCGGTCAGGACCCACCTGGGCGCGGGAACCGCTCGCTGCCGCCGGTCCAGGCCCACCTGGGCACGGGAACCGCTCACTGCCGTCGGTCCGGGCCCACCTGGGCACGGGAACCGCTCGCTGCCGCCGGTCAGGACCCACCTGGGCACGGGAACCGCTCGCTGCCGCCGGTCCAGGCCCACCTGGGCACGGGAACCGCTCGCTGCCGCCGGTCCGGGCCCACCTGGGCACGGGAACCGCTCGCTGCCGCCGGTCCGGGCCCACCTGGGCACGGGAACCGCTCGCTGCCGCCGGTCCGGGCCTACCTGGGCACGGGAACCGCTCGCTACCGCCGGTCCGGGCCCACCTGGGTACGGGAAGCATGCGCTGCGATACACTTCAAGCCACAGCTCAGTCATTGTTACATATGTCTACATGGCAGTTGATGCAGGCATTCTTCACAGCTGGTATTTAGGACTCAGTATTTCGTGTTTTCCCAGTTTCGTGTATAAGGCCCAATATTTTGAACGTACTTGTATCTATATTCATGTTATTTGACATGCCAATATTTCACTGTACAGCATTGAAACGGCATGACCAAAAGGCACATCGATAACAAGATGATTGTCATTTTAGAGGGCAACATTGCTCTCATTTCTCGTTTCTCATTTCAAGTTCTAATTTATCATGTTAAGTTCTCATTTCTCATTTCAAGTTCTCATTTCTCATTTCTCTTTTTCAGATATCAACCATCATCCTTTACTGGATTTTTATGTCGCTTTCTGTACGGCTGTGCTTTTTTGTCAACAAGTCTGCAGCCATTACCTTTCTGCGATGTCACTCACGCTTGATCATGTATGGCCCGTGGTTGTTGTTTTAGTGCAAGACATATCATGGTGAATTCACACTCCATGAAAGTTTAAAACAATATCTCAACGTGTTTTTAAGCCATCGTGAATATTCGACGGAAAAAGGAAGACATCGCCCCCTCGGTCAGTGCTGGGTTTTAATGAAAGTGCATTTCCTTCCTGGATTCAGATTTTATCTTCCACAGGTTGTATGCTGGCTGTTCCTAAGTGTTTCGCTGCAGCGCCACGATATTTTATGATTTTCCACAGGATTTGTGCTGATATGATCATATATATATATATATATATATATATATATATATATATATATATATATATAAGTATATATATGCATGTTTGATAAAAGATAACTGCTGGCTCAGCATGGTCGAGCTTTTTGGCGCGTGGTTCTAGTTTCCGGGCCTTTGACTTGGCATCATCGCATCATGTATAAAAGAAAGGATTCTGCCAAAATATCCCATCATATATATATATATATATATATATATATATATGTACACACATATGCATATATATATATATATATATAAACAATGCAAATCTCCCATATAATTCAGTGTGCAAAATTGGAGTGTTGTGGTCAAATTCGTGTTTCGTGATTGTTGCTTTTTGCATCAACTGCCGGAACGTATCAAACGTTTCATGATGCATCACTTCAGTCATCATCATTCATCATTTCATTTCAAAGCTTTCACGTTTGATCATTCGCGTCTCATCATCTTTGTAGGTGGCGTGGTGGTACGAAATATTTCCCTTGTACCTAGGTGTTAATAGATGGTGAATATATTTGTGCAGTCCTGAACCTACCCCATTACATGCATGCATCATAAATTTTTACATGTCGTCAAATTCAACACGGTTTTTACCTTCCCATTGTCAGTGGAAAGAGCCAAGCTTTTTTAGAGGACAGAAACCAGCTTTTATTTGTGCATTTTAGGTGTCATAAAGCGACGCGTACTGCTTGGGCACCCCCATCGCCCAAAAGGTCTTCGGTACGCGCTGACTTGAGTTCGCCATTGTTTGGAAAATTGCATTTCTCCAATATAAAATGGGCAAACGTAAGGGCAAGGATATGTTTTAGCCACGTGGCAAAGAACCGCAGGAGAATTCTGCAAAGCGGCTTTGCGATCTGTCAAACGGTGGGTTGGCGCAAAAGAGTGGCGGTAATGGTGCCCCTCCCCCGCCCCCCCCCCCCTCCATGTAGTTTAACTGGCCCCACCCCGCGCAAGATCTGAGACCTCACAAATTGGCGCGCAATGCATGCTCCTATGCGAATCGTGCAATGCGTGGTCTGAAATCACCTGGTCATAATGATCGTTTGAGGTCCGGACGCATTTTCGTGCCCTATATTGACGTGGTACTTTAGGATTAGTTGTCCTTACTAAAGAATGCTCTGGCAAGAGGGTCAATACCATGAACTAAGGAGAAATGGTGCCCGCGCCTGGCTGCACACTCCCTCGATGATGTTCCATACTTGCTGGTTAGTATGCGAAGTTGCCTTTGCTCTCCATGTCCATGGGCCATAATGTTTTTCCACCCACGTCATTTAAAATGAAGTCCAACCACACTCCGTTGCCCTTTGCGTGCATAGTGCGCAATACAGATTAAATTACCTCTAACACACCTGGATGCACATAAGCCAGATAGCTATCCACGCCATTTAAATGCGGCTGGCCGCTCCTCTGCCTGAGGCGAGAGTTCCCCTGGATCTTCCCCTTAATCAACAGGCGCCTGCATTTGACCGTTGTTGCTGTCCTTGTTGTCTACACTATGTGCGACTCTATGAGGACATGACTCTGAATGCCGAATGATATGCGAACCTGGGAATGTTAATAACTGCTTTGCCCAGTTATAAATGATATCATAGGCTGGCCTGCCGTTTTTGTCTCCCTTGGATGAAAACCGTTTGTGGTTCATTGGAGCGTATAACCTGCCCCCAGGTCCTGAAAAGTGGAGCCACATCGGCTACAACCAGTGCAGCGGAAAACGCCAGTCTCCAATCAACGTTGTAACGAACAGGGTCATCAGAAAGCACTTCAAACCGATCGAGTTTCGTCACTTTGACCAGATTCCGAGGGAGATGAACATGACCAATAACTACCACTCAGGTGAGAATGGGGGTTTACGTTGTCAGACCAATGACAATGGATGTGACCACAAGAGACATTTCGATGTGCTGCTTAGGTACCAGTAAAGATACAACTGGGGGCGAGGACGTGGTAATACGTGATGTAATTATTTTACGACAGGTAAATGCTAAGGTCAATAACGCCAGAATATACCAGCCCGGTTACAGTACGGGACACCGAAACACAGCTGGCAGTAAGTCTCGAATCCACATCCTGGACGCTGTAAGTGAAGCGTTCTATGCCTGAGCTATGACGTCCCCATGCCGGTTTCGTGAGCGGGCGCAGGAGCAGCAGCGCAGACCGTTCCGCCGGCCGGCGCAGCATACACAGCTCGAATGATGCCATTACCAAGAATCAAACGGGACTGACCACGTGGTCAGTCGCCGCGTCACGGCAGCTGTTGTACAGTGCCAGCGCGTCACGACAGCTGTTGCACGGTGCCAGCCTCATGCCATTGGGCATGCGTTCTGTCGCTCTGTATGAGACAGGCATCACTTATAGCTTTACTGGGTATTCATAGGCATTCCGGCACGACAGTAAGTTTGCTGTCAATTAATGAGGACAACTTTGAACTGCAATGACCAGATGTGGCCTTGATTCAGGAAACTATGGTAATGACAAAATTATCACACTGTTACTCCCCGAATTTTTGCCGCACGGCCTTCATACAGATCTTCCAAAACGACTTGCAATGCAGGATAATCGTGAAACGAGTATTGTTTCATCATGAAATTGATGTTGATAAATGCAGCTGTTCACGTAATCTTTCTGCAGCACAATACAGAGAGTCCCGATGCTCGTGTCCCCACAGCACGGGCGACGCTGGAGTGGGACGAGATCCCCCTGATCGGCAGCGGCGGCCTGCCGGGAGAGTATGAGGTCATCAACTTCCACTTCCACTGGGGCAGGAAGGACTTCAAGGGCTCCGAGCACACTGTCGACGGTGAAAGGTACGTGTTTCTTCACGCACAGTCACGGAGCAGCAGGGGTAAAAGCGGCCCCGAGCCATTTAAATTGTCTTTTAAATGGAACCCGAATAGCGGCGTATTTTCCATTGGTATCGCGTTTTATCGGCATTTAGGCTGTTGGTAAGTGACGACAGGATGCTTCGCATGTCTTTCCACATCTTCCTTGTACATGAACACGGTGAAGCTACACTTCATAGCTTTTACTTTTACCCACATTTTCCATGTTTCGTGAATCAGAAGCGTAGCTAGCTGGCCACTTTATCATCCCAAAGATGAACTCCGGTTTTATAACGTAGCGAAAGTTTTAATCGTATTGAACTTAGAAGGATTTCTGTAACGTATTGCGGCTTAACCACTGCGCTTGGCGGGTAATGAACGCTTGTGGTGCGGACGCGGCTGTGGGCTCAGCCAATGACGTCAGTGATCCGACACACCGGTTAGTGCTGGTAGTGTGGCTGCCCTCCCCCCCCCCCCCGCCCGCCGTCTAACACTGGCCACCCCACCTCCGTGGAGCTGCTGCTCAGTTGCACCAATTCGCGACGCGTGCCGACTGATTCCGATCGATTCCGACTGGTTCCGACTGATTCCGCTTTCAGACGCATTATCATTGGCGGAATTTTGTTCATGCAAATAATGTGATGTGCTATCCGATGATCCGATCCGATGATCCGATGTGCTAATGTAATGCTTTTTTGTCAGTGGTATTGGTAGTAGCAATAGTGTTTCGGTGCTTTCTTTGGAATGCCTGGATTGATATTTTTCTTACATGCTATATTTTTTCAGCTATCGACCTTGAATCTTCATTATATTGAGGTCCTTCCGGGGGGGATTTTGCATAAAAGTGACAAATGGTGTTATGACTTGCAGACCAAACACCCCTTTGCAGGTTTTCTAGATTGCACTTTTCAGTTCCAGCACTGCATTGCATTGCTTCGTTCTGACTGTTTTCGCAAGGTCATACCATGAAAACTTAAGGTAATTCAAATCTGGGAATTTATGACCTGATTTGAACTTTTCATACCCATATGATTGTAAAGGTAATCACATTTATCTTACAGTTTTAAAAGCCTTTCCGGTGCTGTTTTTCCTATTTCCACGGCGTGTTTGGTTATTAATATAGGTCGATTAATCAGTGCAACAAAATCCTTCACTGCTTTGACATACTGTGACGCATAACGGGTTGTGTTTGTCGATGTTTATAAGTGCCAATCTGTTACAGTTGTCCAAAAGCTGTTCAACGCCATTTTCTGCATTATCATACCGTGCTTAGGTCTTGAGATAACTCAAAGAGTGTCCACAAAATGACAACGTGATTCCTGCGGCCTGATTTGACCCATTGAAGATCACCTTCACTACGCATGACGCATGTACGCATGATGCAGGGCGATGGTCAATACATTTTAGTAACTGGACATTGCCAGGAACATGGTGGCGTATTTTGGAAAGGCTGCATCGCATGATGCTCGTCACGAAAAGGCTGCATCGCATGATGCTCGTCACGAAAAGGCTGCATCGCATGATGCTCGTCACGAAAAGGCTGCATCGCATGATGCTCGTCACGAAAAGGCTGCATCGCATGATGCTCGTCACGAAAAGCATCTATCCTGTTTCAGTGCGACCAGCGTGTGGTTTGATGTGTAATGTGACTGTACGATGTACGGAGAGCGTCGGCGGAAGGGGAAACCGGTGACGCAAAACCACCCGAGCTCCGTTATTCATTGAACATGAACCGCCAGCTGGTGCGGACAACTCCGCCATGGTCCAAAACTCATCGCGTTACAACGCTTTCTATCAGCAGCGTGTTTAACCGCCCGGGGAGAAGACCGCTGGGAATACGGCTAACGCGCCTAAGATACCCTGCCATCCGCGCTCTAATTGCTTGTGAGGACGCTAATTTCGCTACTTCGCATATACCTGCATACACCAGCGCAAGATGGATTACAGAGTTGATGCGTGTTCACGAAGTGACAACCTCTTTTCTTGTTTCTACTGTTATGTTCAGTGACAAAGTTGAATTATATCTCCTTGTGAGGCCAGTGACAAATATGACTTATGTCGATATTGCATTTGCCTGCCGGCACGGATCAAGCCGTTTCCTCAGTGGTCCCGTAAGCTCTCAGCCGGGGAGTTCAGTTCAGCCCAAGTTGTCAGTCATGGTAACCCACGCTCAGCCGATGATTTTTATGTTACCCTGCCAGGTTTTATAAAGGGACATCTCAGATAACTTGTTCATTGCAAAGGAGCACAATTACGCGTTGTAATGAGCTTCGCTTCTTCGTTGCATTCGCGTACCGACCTGTATTCAATTGAACTGAGATAAAAGCGCGTTCCCCCTCTTTGCATCGCTCACGATGGCGGCTGCGCCCACGGCCACATGTTTGTTGACGTGTCTACTGCCGATGCAAATGTCGATGAGAGGGGTGCCACGCAACATTATAATGCGCATTGGATTTGGAGCGAAAGGGAATGCATAAGCGGTTTACAATAATGGTCAATGCGGTACAGTTGCAGCGCAGTACAGTACAGTACAGTACAGTATATATGTATATATATATATATATATATATATATATATATATATATATATATATGACTACACATTTTCAAGCCCGAGCGACTAGCTTCTAGCCTGACATATTTTATAGGGGCTCGAGGGGCGTGATAAAGACCGTCTGTTCCTGTCGCGTTAATATATTTATTTGGGTTCAAGTTCTTCTGTGTTGGTGGTGGTCGTTTTCATTCGACTTGGCACGACAGTTCGTTCCGTCCGGGCCTCGTGACGATAATATTTGTTCATCCCACCTCACCAGCACATGACACCCAGCTCTGGCACGACTCCAACCGCTATAACTGGTCCCCGCCACTGTCTGACGCCACGGTTTTTTCACGCTGACGACCTGAGCCAAACAAACAGAACATGCCGCCCCTCACCCGGCCAGCCTTTACTGGGCCTCTTCTGTGAACGGCTTGCCAAAGCTGATGCAACGTCACGGTGGGCGGGGTTGAAGGGCTTCAGGGCAGCGTGATCGGTTTTTGCATTAGCTGCATGGCATCGTTGTCTATGGCTTCCAGGTCACGACTTTTTACAAACGATATTATGCCATCTACGATCACAAGAGTGGCATATTGTGATATGTTTTAGTCGTTTCTCCTCATCGTTCTACCTGGCCATACACACCGGACGTGTACATCAGTGAAGCGTCATCTTTGAGACGTAAACAGTATGTTCCTTTTCGGACTGTTTGGTGGGTCTGGGGTCATCAATCAGGGCCGGTTGTAAACAATGAAAAATATTAACTTGCCCAAGCATGCTTTACATTCTGCCAAAAAAGCACAAATGTAAGGTGAAAATCTGCAAAAAAACACCAACACAAGTTTAAGGTGAAAACGCAAGCCTACGCGCACTCAGTTTGCCTATGTCAAAAAGAGGTGTGGCAATGAGTGTGCGCCACCTCGTTGATAACGGATCCTGAGCCCATTCAGTTTAAATCTTTGCACAACAATGTGGTGCTGCTGGTGTGAAGATTTTCCTTAAGAAGGTTTCAGGCATACTGCTTGAAAAATATCACTGAGTTGCAATTTTCACGTTCCGACATCAACATCAAACCAAAACGATACAACATAGAAACAGGCGGCATCTGTGCAATTTCAGTTTTCCTGTCGCTGACCAGGGAGCCAGTGGTCATGTCGGCTTACTGATCATGATACTTGGTCAGGTTTGGATGCAACACGAGGACAGTGAGCGAAATTCCTGCCGGTGGCTGATTCAGAGGCTGGCTGGTGAGTGAACTACGATGTCACATTTACCGTCCCCGTCTTTCGCGGAGCAGCCGCCGTTGGCCGTCGCTGCTGACAGACTCTTAACGCCGGTCGTTGCGTTTCAGCTACCCGCTGGAGATGCACATCGTGTGCCAGAACACCAAGTACCCGGAGCTGCAGGACGCGCTGCAACACCCGGACGGTCTGGCCGTCATGGGCATCATGTTCGAGGTGCTCCCTGGGCCGGGCCCTGGCGCCGCCAGCTGACGGCAGCCGCGTCACCGTTTGGACGGCGGCCAGCTTGGGCGGGCTCTGAGCGCGCGCTGTAGCGCATGGAACTGGTCGTCATCAATACTTACGTCAAAATGCCACGAGCACGAACGTATTTAGTTTTGTATTCTTTTTTATCTTCGTTGTCATTGTTAATGATCGTTAAAGACTGATGGGAAAAACAAGGATGGCGGAGGAACAGACACGACCGGTTGGATAGGCAGACGGACGGCTTTGGTGGAGAAGAGAGAGCAATACATAGTAACACCCTTATTTGGGGGAGGAGAGGGACCAATATATAGTAACGCCTTTATTTCTTAACACTGCGCATTGGATGGCCGGTTTTTTATAGGCTGGTACCGAATTATAGCCTTTCACAAATATGTGGGGACCCATTGAGCAGCCCCGGCGCCCGCTTTTGGGGCAGGAGAGGCCCGCATAAGATAGCCACATTACCCCAGCACATGACATTTTCAATCCGATCCCTGAGGCCCATAAAAGACAATACATGACTATCTCTCAGTAGGGTCGACAAACTATGCAACTAGTTGCCCAGTCGGGCATTAGCCGAGCGAGGCCCCGCGCCAAGGAAACGAAATATTTGGCTTCCAGCGTCAAAACACGGCGACATCAGAAATACCGTTACTAATGGTTTCATAAGGCGCCGTCAGTTATCAGCCGCGTCGCTGGCTGAAGCGTGCGGTGGGCTCCATGACTTGGCATTGTCACCACATGCTATTCACGCAAAGGAAAAAACAGACCGGCTTGAAGTCGGCCAATATTCGAGGAGCAGGGCTGTTTCTAAATTAGGACGAAGGCTCCAACTTGTCTTCGTAGATGCCAAATTTGGTTAGAATGCTGACAGTATTGTTCACGAGTCCTGCTTGAAGTCGATGGCAATCGGTCATGTGTATTCAACAGCCGTAGGTAACGGATCTTTGCTGCCCCGAACATGCGGCATATTCTGAACTGAACAGTACAATTTAAAAACACTACATGGCTGTCCGTTATTTTATCCATGCCACTCGGCGGCCCACATTTCAATAGACGCGTGCGTACCATGCATGTGACTCAATTGAGGTAACGCCATGAACCACAGCCCAAGGTCTCTGTGAACAAGGTACGGGCGGCCCCGAATACGGTTGAAGGGTCATAAATAACGTGGGGAACACGCGAGGAACTCTTTGTTCCATAGACCCCAGAGCGGTAGTTGGAGGCGCTCCGGGGACCGAATGCGGATTTCGTTTCTATTACTCTGGACCGGCCTGACCTTCCCGGTGCGCTCCGGACCGGCCTGACCTTCCCGGTGCGACTGGCCTGACCTTCCCGGCGCGCCGTGGACCGGCCTGACCTTCCCGGCGCGCCGTGGACCGGCCTGACCTTCGCGGTGTGCTCTTGAACCCAATGGGTTTTTAAGGATGGTCTTCAGCTTCACCGAAAGTTCAAATAAACAACAAGCATCGTTTCGTTTTGAAACTACCTGCTCCCATAAGGACAGTCCGGTAGCTGCGCTCTTTGACCTGCCGTCAACTGTTGACCCATCTCCCTGCAGGTCAGTGAAGCCAACAACCGCGCCATGAAAAGGCTGGAGCCGGCTCTGCGGCAGATTGTGAAGGGTGGCGATTCGGTGGCCGTCGAGGAGCCGCCCCGGCTGCTCGAGCTCATGCCCTGGAACACCAACGACTTCTACCGCTACGACGGGTCGCTCACTACGCCAAACTGCAATGAGGTCGTCACCTGGACAATCTTTCTGGAGTCAGTCAAGATCACTGAGAAGCAGGTCAGTAGTGGTGCATTTTGTGTTGAACCTAGTCAACAAATTGGTAGCCGTATTACATAGTTCTTAATGCCAATGTTTTTTTATCGGAATACAATTGGTTTTTGATGCCACCTGAACATTTGTTGTTGTCCCGCGTTTGCACAGCGAAAAATTAATTTGAAACCTCCGGTGTTCTTAACACGCTCCCTGTGACCGGTTGAATATCCTTCGCTATGGCGAAGGTCAGTTTGACCCGTTGAGACCTCAAACACCAAGAAAGCTGGAAACACGAAGTTCACATGGTGTGCTGACCTGGACGTGACTCACTTGTGTCAAATGTGATGTTCCTAGGTCATTGCCCTCAGGTCAAACAAGGTGAAACAAAGTCAAAGTCCAGGTTGGTGTCCAGAGTTTCCCTAGAACCTAGATGCCCACATTAGGTAAAAGATCACCGATGCTCCTTTAAGGTAATTGAACTTTTTGACTCTTCGAAGGTCATGGTGACCAAAATAATACAAGACTGCGTTGAATTTGGCACTTGAATAAGCGTCCAAGATGACACTGGGCAGTGTGTTCCTAAAAACAAAATGTTGATCTGGGTTATTTTAGGTCAGTGGCCTATTCTGACCTTGACAAATTCTATGGAAGATGTGTAATGCGGTTCCTGTTATCAATAAATTCGAAATGAGCACCAGGAACTACCCTATACAGCAAGCTGTGGAGTGATACAACAGGTTGATTTTGACCTTGGTCTGACCTTCATACCTACTCTAGGTCGATGCAATTCCTTCATTTAATCGTCGCGTTGCCTAATAAACTATCCCAGAGTTGTACGACCTTGTCAAATACCCCGCTGCTTTATCAGATTGGACGATTCCCAAGAATTGTCTTCGCTGAATTCATGGTCTGGCTTTGATCTGCGATAGTTCAGCCACCTTACTAGTCACATCTAAATTCTTCATACCAAACGACCCGCTATTCAATTTTCTAGAATTATGCAAAATTTGGCGCAACAAGCGATGAGAATGGCAAACGATTGAAAAGCTGCCTCACGTTTAATCAGACGCATACTTCATTGTCGTGCCCATTATTTTTCGCATTCGAAAGTAGATGTTCTTTGTCAAGTCTTGCTGCCGCCGCTGGCGGAAGTTTGACAATTGTCTATTCCTTGTAAGCTGGCTAAGCTTGCCTCGACACACAGCTTGATCCGAGGGCTGCCAGCTGACTGGACTCGCGCTACTGTGCTGTCAGCTGGAGCTGTTCCGGGCGCTGAAACGCAATCCCGTGCCGATCGGACGCAACTACCGACCGCCTCAGCACCGCTTCGGCCGCTCCGTGTTTCTCAGCAAGCCCGAGGAGGAGGACAGCGTCGTGTTCGGTGGCATCACAGCCGAGCTGCGGAACGACGCCCGCCCACTGCGCGTGCCTCCGCTGCCGGCGCTGCTCGCCATGCTCGTCATCTGTCTGGTTGGCCGCTGAGATCAGAGCGAAATCAAGAGGCCTGATCTCTGAGATTAGGGCGGAGCTCAGCGGATCTCAGAGATCAGGCGGAGGAGTGTACCTGACGTCTGGGGTCAGGCGGCCTGCTCTCACCTAGGTCAGGTGGAGGTGCAGATCTGATCTGTGAGATCAGCCGCCTGCCGTTGAGGTCAAGTGTAGACCACCTGTCCTCATCGTTGTATTGTGTGCGACCCAGTGCCAGCAGCACTGTGCGCCCCAAGAGGTCGGAGCAACGAGTAGCTGGTCACTCAACCCAGTAGGGAGCTGTTTTAGCAGGGAAGTAGGTGTACGTGTCGTGAGATTTCTGGTGGGCGGGTTGGACTGGTGTAGATCCTGCAAGGACTAGTTCGTCGGGCATTGACCTGACGTAGAATTCCATGCAAAAGTAATGCATCGGTCACTCCCGTAAACGCGCCTGAAATGCCGCCTCAGCTATTCCCCTGTGATATAGGACTCGAAGTCCCTCTTGGAAGCTGATCTGGTTTCCACCACTGACTCATTGCCTCACACTTTCCGTGCATTGTCACTAGTGCAAAGTTGGCTCCAGTTGCCTCCTGTCTTCTGTCGCATTTGCTTCACGCTGAAAATACTGCAGAGATGTGGTTCACAGCTGCCTCGAAAGCATCGAGTAAGCTGTGTCGGTGAAACCGTACTCACGATTAAGTGCTGCAGCAGGATGGCCGCCAGCTTCCCAGATGTCATCACCTCAGCATCGATATTACTGTCACCCCTCGATCTGGATCTGGCTACAGATGTGTTTCAGGGCAATGCTAAAATGAATAAGTTATTCGAGAGATGAACGAAGTCCTCGCGTATCAATAAATAGCGTTATATCTGGTTGGGGGAATTCTCTGTCTGAACAGGAAGTACGGCCTTCGTTTCATATAGCCCACCTTAGAGAGTTGTGCAGTTCTTCATATTTTTCAAGAGCTGTGTTTTGCACTCCGCTATGCCCCTGCCAAATGGTACGCCTCACGCCTATCTTGAAAGGCGCTGGTAAATCAAGTGACTTAACGTTGTGTGGATGCAGTGGTGCAGCCAGGACTTCGTCCAGGAGGGGCACATCGGGTCATAAGGCCTGTTTTTGGACTCGGGAACTTTGCATGCTAGATGCTCCATCTGCATACATCGAGGGCCGTTAGTTTGTTTTGGATGCAACGTGGACGTCTTAAAATTTCAAAAGGTGAAAGCTTAAAGGTAACATGCAACAATCTTAAAAAGTTGTCTTAAAAGCCCCGGAGCAAGTCGAACTCCAGGAGACGGGGAGCTGTGATCTCAAAAGGCCCGTCCCCTGGTAAGACCACTATGTAAGTGGAACTTCCCTGTACAAAGAAGCCGTTCACTCTCCCCATGCTCCCGATATCGGAGTTCAAAGCCTGTAGCTCCGAGAGCAATTTGCACGCAGCCTCAGGCACGATAGAATATTCATCACACGTCATGTGCTCAATGTGGTGGCGTATACGTAAATCCGTGTTCCATCATACTTTATATACAACACAATTCATCTAATTTCACCAGTTTCATCTACGCAGTATGTATTCCAACCATTTCAACGTGGAATCACACAGCGGGTTTGTATATGGGAGATGTGACCCCGCATCTTTGGCGTGTAAATATCCAACACAGAATTGAATAAGCACCAAGATTGTGTGCGTGATTTGACGTGGAGACATGCTATCCACCTGTTTCACAGCGTTGCATGGTGGAGAAGCAAGCGGGTAGCACCAAACTAATTGTGTGCACCTTTGTAAAACAGCCTGAGCGCATACGCCTGTAAGAAATCAACACAAGTTTATTGTAGTGAAAGAGCTAGAGCGGAAAGGGACCAAAAACGGCCTGCGAAGGACACGCACAATCTGATGACAATCCAACGAGTGGATAAGGAAGCCTGCGAGACCAGCGGGTCGTTGGATGCTGGCCCGGTTCCAACGTCGACAGCGAACTCAGCACTCGACACTGACGAACTATCGGCGGCCTCACAGAAAAGCGAACAATATGAGAGCGAAAAACAAAGGGTGGCTGGGGAAACGAATTCAGAATTCCACTCCACTGGATTCCTAGCTCCTTTTTGTCGTGCGATTTGACGGTTTCCGTGGAACGAAGACTTGTTTTTGTAAGCATTGTCTGGCAGCGCTCGTGCTGCATTTTTATTCAGCTCCAAATTCAGGACCCTATCTAGCCTACCGGGCCTGCTGACAGCGTCCTTCCTTGGTCCAATGACTATCGTCACTTGCCACGTCTCTACAAAAAATGGTCCGATATTTAGATGTTTGATTATCTTTGGGATGGTGTGGTGGTCTGGAAGGAGGCACCTTTTTGCACATCAGCTACTTTCCTGCTGTGTGATGACTGCCGGGAATAAGCGTGCACAAGGCCGTTTACATTCACTGAAAGCCTTCCTTCAACACATTTGACGTTGAAGAGGCCACAGAGCCTGAACCCGCCGTCTGCTGGGTACCTCGCAACAGATCGCACACAGCTATCACGATTAGCCTAGTCGAAAAAATAGACTTGCTGTGGCCGGCTTCACCCAATTTTCCCTTACTTTTTGCCTTTGGCAATCACATGCCACCGCCCATAGATATGCTAACAGGAGTGTCTTACCTTGTCCAACAGCGGGAGGGAAAATTGCCTCGGGCATTAGGACCTTTAAGCTCCAAGGTCGCGTCACTCCCTACCAAGCAGTGTGAAATATACTACACGAATATTTGACTCACATGCAAAATATGTTCAGACACTTCTCCGGTTAGGCCTGAAGATGTTGTGACTGGAAGTTATCCACCAAAACCCTGAAGAAACAAAGAAAGCAGTCATTGCGAATATGAGTAATCAGCATCCCAACTACACCAATGCACGAGTTATCATTTATACTAAATGTAATATTTGATTAGTAAAGAGCTGTGTGTCGTTGCAGAAAACGAGAGCGAACATTGCTTCTTTTAGAAGGGTATGTTCCGGCTCATTCCATGCAAGTATCGCTCCTGGCTTGCAGCCAAGCCGGTTCAGCTAAGGCTGGCTTTCCGCTTTTTTGTTTCTTCCGCTAAGTTGACAGGCTTGTTGCTGAACCGACCAAGGTAGCGAGGAAGCTAGATCATGTGGGCGCATGCTGGTTTGTTTGCCGAAGGCTAATATTTATAAGTTATTTGCTAGTTTTACAGACATTAGACCATCCACAATTATTTCTCGTCCTACGTAGAAACTTGCGGCATCACCTGCCCCTCGTGATTTATATAATTGTTTGAATGCTGTTGGTTTCTTGCTGTGCAGTACAAAGTAAATCGTCAAACCTCAGCCTCTAGTATAGGCCCTGCGGAGGGCGAGCACGCTAGTACTCCGAAATAGCAGCATTTTACGTGATAAAATGACGTGAAAGTTGATGTAACAAAGCGTGCAGGCTGCAGGAGTGTCATGTTACAATGCATTTAATTTTTAGAAATGAACAGGTGCTTGTTTAAACGCGAAATTTTTGCATCTTTCTGAAAACATTAAAGTTAGAACCTTACTTTTGCTCGGCTCAATAACTTGAAGCTTTGGCCGATGATCTACCAGAAGGTACGGCGTCAAAAGCTGCCCCGTATTTACTCGCGGCCTATGGGCTTGCATATAATGATAGCTTTGTTTTCCAAAGGAGGTTACGTGGCAAAGGTGAGTGTCCGCTGTTGGCGGCCACGGTTTCCGTATACCTCAATCCCATGCCCATTTGTATTGCCGTATTCGCATTTGACATCGTTTGTTTAAAAGGTTACTAGAACGTTGCACATAGGTATAAAATTGAATGTAACATTTACCTTAAGCCTTCATGTCCTACATGTTTTAGGCCTCATTGGTAGGTCCCATCTCAGGAGTGTCCTCTGCACAGAAGGTGTTTTTGTATTGTTTTAGCTTCACTTGTGCAAATGTATTTCCATTGGGTAGTTATTACCTGCACCCCAGTGCTGGCATATGTTTGACGTAAATTCCAATGGCTCTTTTGCATATTATCAACGCGCCTTTGTAACTCTGGGTATCAGTTGTATTGTGTGAATATTGTCTGAAGTGCAGATATACATCTAGATATCGAAAAGTAATTTTTGCTTGCCCGCATTGATGATAAATACCTAGTGCATTTTGCACTGTCAGGCTACTTCTGTCATATTGCAATGAGCAATGGGAATACCCATGATACCCAAACACTCATGATGGAACTGTGGTATTCACCGGAAGTATTAGTTAACGATGAAATCATAAGACAATGCATGCAATTTCGAGGTGCTATATTGGCAAGATTATTATTTCCGAAATCTCCTAAAAGGCCACATTCAGTACCGAGCTCTGGCATTGCCCTGTGCATTCCACGTACCCGAAAATTGGACACCAGAGAGAGAGAGAGAGAGAGAGAGAGAGAGAGAGAGAGAGAGAGAGAGAGAGAGAGAGAGAGAGAGAAGAGAGAGCGGAGAGAGAGAGATAGCGAGAGAGAGATGAGAGAAGAGGAGAGAGATAGAGATAATAAAAAAGATAAAGAGAGACTCGAGTGCCGATATAGAGATCAGATAGGAGAAGATAGTAGCGATATATGAGCGATATAGAGAGAGATAGAGAGAGAGAGAGAGAGAGAGAATAGGAAGAGAGAGAGAGGTGGTTGTCCGAGATAGTTTTTAGACCTCTGGCGCTTGTTTTGCCTGAGCAACATTGTTGACAGCGATTGCTGTATAGAGACTGCTTTCTTGCCAGATGTCTGGCTGTGGCACTGGTGCAGCATCGTATGAACTGTTGCTTTCCTCACGTCTAGCTTCTTGTATTGTGACTTACATGTGAAGAGCATGTCGTCTTGAACTCCTAGTTGTGCGTTATCGGGCGTGCGTTACACGTCACAGTATTGATGACGTCACCTGGTTTTGACGCTCGTCTGACTCGCTTGAAAATCCCTTGTGTGGACAGCAATGCTTGAAAAAGAGTTCACGTTATGTTTGATCATGATTGGCAACTGTAGTTTGCAAAATCAATGAAGTTACATTGATATGGGCTTTGTTAAATATGACCAAAATAATTCAAAGACCAGTTATATTGGATGGGTTTGGTTACATTAAGTCGGGGAACAAAACTACGTGATTTTCTTGGCACAGTGTAGCTTGGTGTATGTGACAGCGTCTTGACTTCCACGTCAATTCGAAAAGGGTGGCATCGCTCGCCTTCTGGTCACTTTTGAGGCAGCTATAGGTCGAACAGTTGTCAGATTCGTTAATGCGTTGTAGTTAATGGCTCGGTATAGTTGTCCTTACCATGCATTAGTTTATTTATCACATCTGCTCTAGTTGCCGATATCTGAGATCGAACTTTAAATATTCCTTCATTCCTTCATTTGCCCGCGAGAGCGTGGCCTTCTGCATACCTCGACCCACACTTTTGTCACAACGATCGCCCATGTCGTCCTCCGCCAGAACCTGTTAATATTATGTATCTGCGATAAGGGCTTCAAAGTTGGACTTGGTCTCTGACCGATGTCCTCGTGCCTTTTTACCGGTTTACATTTCTTATTTCGTCTATGCCAGTCCAGTAGGGAAGATACAATTATCTTGAAATGCTGCAAGAAAACCATGCCTGAAAAACGTTGAGGTTGTATGCAGCTGTATATTGAAAATGCAGGTTTATCTGTGCGAGCTCGATCAAGCAACGACTTAAAAATGGGAAAGAAGCGTACTTGTAAGCAAAACCCGCGCTGACCTGCGTGGGCTTTAGATGTGAGTTCTGCTGTTCCTAATCATAGGGTAAAGCAAGGAAACGAGAAACAGATCAACCAACGAGCTGACAAGAAGGCTGACGTTCTAATCGACGAAAAGTGTCATGGATATGTGGACGCGT